GCGACTGTCGGCAAACATGCAGGTCTAATGTACGTGTTCAAGCTGTAATTAATGACCTGAAAGAAATATAGCTCAGTAATCTTTCCTATTGCCGCTATTTTTACAGTAGCCAACTAAAACATTTTGAGAAAAGAAAAATATTTAACGTCTTTTTTTTTTGGTCCGACAGTTAAGCCGACCTTCGGGTGAATTGCTGTCACACAGCACAAAAAGACATTTGTTGTCACCATGTCAACCTAATGTTTCCCGTACAGTACTCCTGGCTTTTTAAAGGTCTAAGGGCAAAGTGGCACTGAGCGACTACTGGGCTCAATTAAAGAGGATGCTCAAGTTAGACATCTCCACATGACATAGTGATGTGGACTGTCTGGGTCTGGTAGTTTTCTCCCCTTACATGTACCATGAAGGTTGGCAGTGAGCTAAGGGCAGAACAAATTTTTTTAAAAGGAATGTGGGGTATTACGATGATGGAATATCGAATGAAAATAGTGACAATTCCATCAATTCCCAATGATAGGCAGCCCTGCAGCTGCGATTAATACCTCCTACTGAAAGACAACCAGTTGAAGCTAAAAAGATGACCATATTTTTTCTCAAAGTCGACAAAATGAGCAGTCTTTTGGGGGGTTTCTTTGGATTTTTTAAACAGTAGAGGGTTTTACGGCGCTCGCAACTGCATAAGGTCATGTGAGCGCCAAATGAGCTGTAAAAAAATAAATAGTCAAACAATTACAAAGCGCAAAAAGAGCAACTTACCAATCTGTGATGGCGTAAGGCCCTTCTTGGCCAACTTATCAATCTGATCCTCAACATCTTCAGATGGCAATTTAAGCCACTGGGGGAAAAGAAAGGCGTAAAAATGTATACAATGAGCACTTAAAACAGCTCACTCATGTGTAACAAAACTACCACAAGAATAATTTGAAACAGTTTTAATCGCAACCAACCCCTCTCCCCCAAAGAACATTCTGTTGGTCAACCAACTTTTATACCCCTATGCAAAGACCTGAGTAGATTGAACAGAGCGATTTCATTTATCTTGTTTTAACCACGGTCAGACGAAGGCAAACAAGCTATAACACACAAATTCAAATTTCATATAGCTGACATTATAGTAAACAAAACAAACTTAAAAAAAAAATTTCCAGTCACCTTTACAGCCAATCATATATTATTCCCCCCTCTTCTGGAAAAGAAAAACAATTGTAAGCATTAAAACACTGGGAACATTGAACATACCACTATGGGCATGTAAACCTTGACCTTTATTATGAATGGGCTTACATTCTGTTGGTCAACCAACTTTTATACCCGTAAGCAAAGACCTGAGATGATTGAACAGAGCGATTTCATTTGTTTTAACCATGGTCAGACGAAGGCAAACCTTATAGCTTATACACAAATTCAAATTACATATAGCTGACATTATAGCTACAGTAAACAAAACAAAAAACTTTTCTTTTTTTTTTATTCCACTCACCTTTACAGCCAATTATATATTTCTTAAATCATGTCAATTACCCCCCCCCCTCCCCCCATTATGAAGGCAGGCTCAAAACAGGTCCAATCCAAGCTATGATGCATACATCCCAACTGAAAGAAATACTTCATACTTCTTACTTTAACTCACAAGTGTCATACTTCAATACCAAACCGGTACTTAATGTACTATAAATGTAAACTAAGTCAGCCGTGCTGGAAAATTTGTGCCACAAAGAAAACAAAGATGACATACCACAGGCACTGTTCTCCTGTAAGGAAGTGCACTCTGGGAAATACCCTTTCTGGAAAAGAAAGAAAACAATTGTCAGCATTAAAACACTGGGAACATACCACTATGGGCATGTAAAGGGGAAAAATAAACAAATAAACGGTGAAATAGCACACACATGAAAGTAAACATACATTTTCCAAATTCTATATCCAGCTCTTTATATGAGCAGGCTAGCCGTACTTATCTTAGGCCAAATTAACATTAGAAAACAGGAGGTTTAAAATACATGCACTGTCATTAAGGCACCTGGTTTCGTCTCAAATACAAATACTTTAGGTACTGCACACTAAAAATGTATATTTACAATTCAGTAGCCATATTTTTTGTAAATGGTCAGTCTAGCCATCATATTAAGAAAAAGTACGGCTAGCCTCTTCCAAATCAAAATGGCCCCTCGAGCACGAAACTGAAAGTACATGTAGATAATTTAGGTCGTCGTCCTTTTTCGTATTCGCATTTCTACTCAGGTTCCAACAATTATGTCGGAAACGCCGACGTCGGCACGAAAACGAAGGTGCTGACAAAGCCGACGGGCGAAAAAAGGGGCCCTGGTAGTCGGCCAGGCCTCGTCTACGCACATTGACTGATACAGGTGGGCCTAGCGATAGCATCGGTCGGCTCGCGATTGTCGGATTTCAGACGATTGTCGGCCTACATGCAGGTCTAAGACTTAGACGACAGAAAAGGAACCATGAACAATTTTTGAACGGAAAGTCTCAACAGTTTCGACAGATGTTTAAGGTCCCATAAAAATCTACTTGCCTCGCCTTCCCTGGAAATGTAACTATTACTATGCTGAAAGCAGGAATAGATTATAATCTTTAGATGAAACTCCACTAAATCGAGATATTTTAATTCTAGTTCAGATCAACATCAGGGTTCAGGTCGGTTCACATCATGCAGAACAGGTCTCCCCGTTGCCCATGACTAATACTGAACATTCTAATCTGTGTTCACAATCAACGAGTGAGTGGACCCTTAAAAAAGTGATATATAATGCTATCAAACATCCATATTTTCATCAATTCATATTATTTTTTACTTAAGATATCTTATTATTTATGCCTACATCGTTCTGCATTCGTTGAACCACCACAAAAATCC